GGGGGGGGGGGGGGGGGGGGGGGGGAAGGAGGATTACGGCACCAAGAGTAGGTTGCGGCGGGGATCAGCGTTTTGAGAAAGAAGCTGTGGAAAGGCGGCGGATGAGGACGGTGGGTGCAACAAAGGAGGGGCGGAAGCAGGCAGGCAGGCAAAGAAAATAGTACATCAAGCTATCATCATATCAATCGGCAGTTAACGCTCCAGCTATAAGAGGGCTGCTTGACCCGCAGGTAGCCTGAGGGAGGAGCTTCGCTACCTCCGCGACTAGCTAGCTCGGATTATGCTAGTTTGGTTCGTTTGTTTGCTCGTTTAATTGTTTTTTGTGCACTAAATTTTGGTGGCTGACTTGGAACGTAGGAGCTGAGGAAGGGGGGTGATAGGGTTTGACGGAAGGAGGGAAAGAGAGGGGGTCGCTAGGAGGCTCGGAAAGGCTGGAGAAATGTGGACTCGACGAATTCGAGGCAGACTGGGTGGATGGATGGATGGACTGATGGATGGACGGATGGATGGACGAAAGCTGCGTGCGAGCGATTTTGGGATGGCAGGCGCGCTGATTAACTTCCAACTTAAGTTTTGCGGTTGTTGTCGACCTAGTCAAATGAGAGTCGAACTCGTGATCTCTATGAAAGGTTGAGGAAATATGGAATCGAATGAGCAGAAGAAGGATGGATGGATGGATGGATGGATGGATGGATGGATGGACGAGATCTGCGCGAGTTATTTGGGATGGCAGGCGCGTTGGTTAACTTCCAACTTAAGTTTTGCGGTTGTTGTCGACCTAGTCAAATGAGAATCGAACTCGTCTTCTCTCTGCTCTGCCCCATGGTTTACTGTCTTGAACTCCTCTGTGTACTACTATCTTAAGTAGTGGTGTGTGCATGAGCTCGTGCGTGAGGAAGCGATTGACATGAACGTGAAAATGAACGGCGGTCCATGGGGATGATGGCAATGGCACTGCCAGGGGGTGTGTACAGGAAAGCTTCATAGGTTTGTAGTGATGTGTGGGAGGGAGGGAGCGAGAGTGGAAAGGAGGTAGGGGGCGAGGTTGTTGTATAAGATAGAATGCGGTGAGAGTAACTGCCACAGGGTTGCATTGCTTGTAGTCCTCATCAGATGTTAAGCTCGCCAGAGATCGAGCAGGCAGTTGGACGGAGTAAGGTAGTGTGCGGAATTTGAGTGCTGCGGATGAAAAGGTGTGTGCTTGCGGTATAGTAGGGCCAGGGGGATTGTCCCCCTGACTCCCCCAGATGTTTCTGAAACAGTTGTTTTTTAGGCAAAACCGGTTCAAAAAGCAGCAGTAGTGAAGGAACGCGAGTCCATTTTTGGTGATCATTCGGGCGGGGTGTGTTGTACACCACAAATTTTGGGCTTCAGCAAGCGAGCTCAAGCTCAGGATTGCTTTTTTCTTCTAGGAGCGAGCGACCGAGAGAGAGAGAGAGAGAGAGAGAGAGAGAGAGAGAGAGAGAGAGAGAGAGAGAGAGAGAGAG